TCTTTGCAAAAGTTATCCAAAAGAAATGTGGTTTACAAGATCGAATGCCGATTGCGATGCTTCCTATGTAGACCAAACGGGAAAAAAACTAAAAACGAGATTAGCAGAAAACCATAACCATACACGTAGAGTTACATCCACTCGTTCAGTTATCACAGAGCATAGGGTGAGTTACAATCATGACTTCGACTGGGATAATGTCAGAATTCTGGATATTGAGATAAATTATAATAAACGAATAATGTCGAAGATGCTCTACATAAATCGTTAATCAAATGGTTTCAACATTCAAACTGACACTGAGGCATTAAATCATGGTTAAATAGGAACTCTCTACAAGTTATACCAGGTATGTAAACATGAAACCAGAATTTTTTAATAGAAAATACACGTTTATTGCATGAAAATAATAAAAAATATTTTATTCGAAGTATTGCTCATCGCTAGCTACACATTTTTCCCACCTGTCTGACAATTTGTGGATGCCACGCCAAATAAATTGTTGCTCTTTTGAGCCAAACCAGTCATCTAGCCATTTTCGTACATCTTCGTAATAAGTAAAGCGCTGCTGAGCAAGTGCGTGTCCCATCGATGCAAATAAGTAGTAATCGGACGGAGCCAAGTCTGGTGAGTAAGCCGCATGCGAAAGTATTTCCCAACCAAACGCCTCAATCGTTTCCTTGACCAGTTTTGCTGTGTGTGATGGTGCATTATCATGAAGCAAAATCACTTTATGTTGCCTTTTTTGATATTCCAGTCGTTTTTCACGCAAAGCTTGATTCAAATTGATCATTTGTTGTCGGTAGCGTTCAGTATTAACGGTTTTGCCAGGTTTTAGCAGCTCATAATACATCACACCTTTCTGATCCCACCAAACACAAAACATTGGCTTCCGTTCATAGCCGATTGGGGTGATCCCGATTGACCACGTCTCGATTGGACACCACCAATCACAGCGACCGGTGCTTAGGAGCTTTGTAGTCTCAAGCGCTGTGAGTGGCTCGTGTCCAATTGAGCCGTGTCCAACTGGGTGCCACCCATAGCGATTTGGCTTGCAGTCGATGTCGATGGTTCGCCTGGAGTTACCCATGATCTTTTACGCTTAGGATTCTCAAAATATATCCACTTTTCATCGCCAGTCACAATTCGATGGAGAAATGACTTTCTTTTGTACCTGGCAAGCAGCATTTCGCAAGTGGTTTTTCGGTTTTCCTGCTGTCTTTCATTCAGTTCATGTGGAACCCATTCCCGTCTTCTAGATCTTTCCCATGGATTTAAAACGTATGAAGACGGCTTCTCATGTCACATTCAATTGATCCGCGAGTTATTGTTAAGTTTAAGCGTCATCCTCACCCAACAATGCTTGCAATTCGCTGTCTTCAAACTTTTTCGGTGGTTTTCCACGTTCTTCATTTCTCACGTCAAAATCGCCACTTTTGAATTTTTTAAACCACTCAAAGCACTATGATTTACCAAGAGCATGCTCACCGTAAGCTTCGGCAAGCATTCGATGCGATTCTGCAGCAGTTTTCTTCAAATGATAACAGAAAATCAATGTTGTCCGCAAATCATAGTTTCCAGGCACAAAATTCGACGTGTTCAACGCTATTACAAATTATACTGTTGTATGAAACTTGTATTGTTGTGAGTTGAAAATCTTTGCCAGATGTCAGAACAAGGAAATGGCATCAATGACGCGGTCTGACGGTAACTACATTAACAGCTATGGCCATCTATTGATAAATTCCGGTTTCATATTTACATACTTGGTAAGTTCTCTAACCTACCTACCTTTAACGTTAATACGCAAAATAATCTATATTTAAATGATAATAACACCGGACGACTGTATTTATCACCTTTATTTAACTTTTGGTGAAAAAAAAAGAAAGGGATCTCAAAAAATCAGATAATATCAGATAATACCTTTTATCTTATTATCCTTTGGTATACACTTACGTTTCGAACTTTAACTATTTTAGTTCAGCTGTTCCAATCGACTCTTTTACTCTTCTCTAGTAAGCTTGTAACACCAAGCCCCTTATTTAAATCTGCTTTGTTCATCAAATTGGTTGTAATTCTTTTATATCTTGCAGTGTCTGTTTTGTAATACTAGAATATATAAGGACATGAATAAGGACTCAACGTTATCCAACATTGAAGCCTCTGACTAGAACATTCCCCAAACAGCACAAAATACTAAAAGATAACGAAAAGAGGTCTTTTTTAAGTCGTCTTTGCGACAAAGCGAAAAGGTGTCTAAAAGATGACGAAAAGACATTGTTTTTAGATTGTCTTTTCAGCAAGATCAAAAGATATCTATAAGACATCTTTTAGCTTTGTCGAAAAGACAACTTAAAAAAGACATCTTTTCGTCATCTTTCTATGGTTGTCATTTTCGTAAAGCAAAAGATCGACTAAAAGATATCTTTTCGTATTGCCGAAAAGACAACATGGAAAAAATATCTTTCCGTTATTTTGGTACTTTTTATAACTCATTCGCGAGCAGTACGCGAGATCGCCACCAGATGGACGTGATGGAGTTCAGTCTCTCGTGTTTGAAAATCATACAGGACAGAATAAAAGGTGCAGCATAATGAAAAATTTTACTCGTGTTCTAATAAACACTAATAAAATATTTTTTTGTAATCGAGTCCCCAAAGGGGATTATGACGAAAGATAATGACTTGCACATAGGACACGGCAAATATTGCAGGAAACGTATATTGTCGGTCATGCAATTTTATTTCGTTTTGTGTAAAAATTAATTTAGAAATTCGATGTATTAAACGTTATATAATATCAAAATATAAAAACTAAAAGAAGTATTAAAGATGACTAAAAGATATCCAAAGAAGTCATCTTTTATGATAATACTATAGTCATCCTTGATGATAAGACTATAAGATGACTAGCAGTGCGACATCTGTCGTCTTTTAGTCATCTTTTCGTCGACTATATTCTTTCACTAAAAGATATCTTTATAACAATTTAGTTGTCTTTTAGTCATCTTTTAGACGACTTTGTGCTCTCTGGGTCGTGACTCGACAAGTTATACCGTAATTTGGGAAAAAAGCGGTCTTCCACTGTTGAAACACTCACCAACGCCATCAATTGCCTTCCTTGATTCCAGTTTCCAATTCTGTTCCAGCCTCAGATTTTCCCATTCGTATCATTTCAGCAACCGATAAAATTTCCGTGTTACAACAGGGGTGAAAGCGGGATCTGGAAAGGAGAAACAGACATGGCGGAGTGCCAGACGAGTACGGCGATAAAATTTGCGTTTGCGCTTGCGCGGCTCGAAACTGAATCCAAAGTGTGGCGATAATGGCCGACCGGTTACGAACCTTAAACCACAACGCGCCAAAGCAACCGGCCATTGTTCTATTGTGCTTCCATAACGCCATCAACTGCTATCAACGTATGACGAACATTCAGGGCGACTGTTACCAACGCCGATTAATTTAATCGACGATTAACTCAATCAGCAGAATTACTATTATAGATAGCAGATTTTCGGGAGGATCCCGTTTGCCTACAGTTCTGATTGTACACACCACTCATATCAACTGGTGCCTAGTAATTTTTCACTGTTTTGCCAATGAGATTATTTTATTTTTAAATTAGCCAATCAGCGATACATGTGTGCAATATGCGATGTGTGCAATCGGAGCCCTCCCAGATTTTCATTACTTTTATCACAGTTAAGTATAAGAACGCAGAGATAGAAGTATATCACGAAAAGATGAGGTTAAGAACGATATACAATCTTGCTGTTGACTACACTGCTGATTGAGTTAATCGTTGATTAAGTCGCCCTCAGAGAAGAACTATCGTTATTTGTCGTCATTCTGATATCAAAATGATGTCTTTAATGTCCTTTTGACGTTAAAATTACTGCAAATGTTCTCTCTCTCTCTCTCTCTCTCTCTCTCTCTCTCTACCTGGAAATGTGTAGGTTTATTGCGTCGCATGCTTCAACACCTACACATATATAGGATATTAGTTCTCTGCCAGACCACTTGAGGCGCAACGATTATTCTCCGTTTCCATCACTCAACACAGAGCTTGCGCTTCTCTTTGTATATGTTTTGTGGTTACAAGCGCCCGGTGAAGCCCATGACACATACAAGAACGTAAGGCCGTAACACGCAAGCAGTAAGTGAATTGACCAATCACAGCAGAGACCGTAAGGCCAGTAGCGAATCCAATGTTACGATTTCCTTACTGATTACGTCTTACGGACTTACGTTTTTCTATGTGCTCCCGGCTTGAACGGTAGAGCCACCTGCGGGTTCCGTCACATGCGGCGTAACTTGCGTAAGCGTAACCTGCGTATTCTAGTAATCTACTAGAATATTTTTTATTTACTAGAATACGCCATTCTGAAAGCCGGCATTCACATTGGACGTATTTCACGGAAGATTAGAGAAATGCGGAACTAATGCAACCAATTGCTGATTAGAATTTCTGTTGTACACTCTAAAGAAATGCTAAACGAATTTACGATTGGTTTTCGTAACCTACGCAACTCGAAAAGTACGCCTCATGGGGAACCAACACCTTTCCATCGCGTATATACGAGCGGATAATCGAATAAATTATTAAAATCGGAAAATTTTGTGAAACCACTCTTAGGCTTATTCGACGCGTTTTTGCATGAAACAAAAGAATCTGGCAA